CCTAAATCCCAAACCCTAAGCCCCCTCTGGGGGCTTTATGGGATGAGGCTCTGGGGGCCAGGGCACCTTCGCACACCAGGCCAAACCACCCAACTCAGCTGGTTCAACCACCCTAAACCCTAAAGCCCCAAAAAGCCCTAAACCCTAATACTAAAGCCCCAAACCCTCAAGACCTAAACCCTAAACCCTAAAGCCCAAACCCTAAAGACCTAAAGACCTAAACCCTAAAGCCCTAAACCCGAAGCCTAATCTTCAAGCCCAAGAATGAATGCTAAAGTTGCTGTCCTGGTCGGCATCAGCCGCATCAAACACTGAGTCCAGTCTGCTTCCCACTCCAATCCTGAGCCAGGCTTCTTCAGGGCTCCTGCGGGCAGGCCTCGACCCGGAATTGTACTAATGTAGGAGCCTTGATAGTTAGAATAGTGTCTTGGGCTATCTTTTCTCTCTTCTTGTAATACTAAGGAGCCACCGAAAAGAAATATGGGCAATAATTTCGGTTTCGATCAGCTAGGTCTACGGGGAGTTCCTCTAAGTTCCGGGCTTCCGGATCGACGATTCGCAGACTTTCCTTTTTAAGTACATGGCGGGAAGGCTGTGAACCTTCCCCCCAAACTTCAAAGCATAATGTAGGGGCCTTAATGAGTAGAGTAGGGTTTTGGGGTCCGTTATAACTATAATCAGGAGCCCCCAAAATAGTAATGGTAATTATTTAGGCCCCTACATTAAGCTGCACACGTTCAAACCCGAAGCCTTCAAACCATGCGGAGCCGCAAAAAACTCGGAAGTGCAAACCCAGTGTCCCCAAGCTTGCTTTTGTGTCTTGCGCCGCATGCAGCCGCCAGAGCGCCAAGAGAAGCAGGTGCCTTAGGCACCTCATTGCTATGGCTGTGGCTGGAGGCTGCCTGGCAATGCAAAGGCCCTGTGACCATTCTTGAGCTGCACGGAATTATGCATCTTCGGACTACAGAGCAGCAAGGCTATCTACTCATGTCCTACATTGAGCATACTGTGACCGGCCCTCAGTGACCTGGGTGTAAGCTCAACAGCTGCAGCACGAATGCGATACCACGATCAACCTAACCCTGACGCAAGACCTGCACGGTCATTTTTTAGCTGTCATTTTTTACACCTGACAAATTGACTCTTGAGCTGTTCGTGTACCTGAAGCTCAAAACAGGGAAGGGACGATCGTCTCAACAAAGCGTGCAGAAACACATCACCTCGGGAACAAACTTCCACCAAACAATGCAGCTTTCATGAAACTCCGTAGTGACTCCGATGGTCATGTTTCTCACAGCTGTAGACACTCCCTGCGCGACAGCTTCAACTCGCAACCAAACCCTACAACATCCTGACTCCAGAATCCCGAATTCCTGAACTCTTGGCAGGGTGACCACCACCACCACCACCAGTCTCAAATTCCTGATTCCCAACCTGAAACCCAAGAAACTCCCGTACCCTTCACTCACGCATACCTCGAGCCCAGTTGTAAATCCAAGTCGGGTGAGTTGTCTCCATGCACAGGATATCAACCACACAACGCAAATTCCTACACCCGGAAGATCCAGGCAACAATCAAGCTGGCAAATAGGGTTTAGGGTTTAGGGCTTAGGACCTACATTTCATGCTCAGTGGGGGTCTTTGGGACTTGTGTCTGTGTAGACTAGTACATGTGGGCAGTATGGCTGATTCACTTTCTGCTGACTAATTTGTCCCGACTGGGAGATTCCAAACCCAAGACAGTTGGCTGTGGTAGGGTTTAGGGTTTAGGGTTTAGGGTTTAGGGAGATAGCAGTAGTTCTAAGAAGGCTGCGAAGACTGCTGAGATTGGCCAAAAGTTTGTTGTTTTCCCTGAATACAGTACCCGCAGCAGTGGTATCACGACGAACTCATGAGGTCACTGCTTATTCTACCAACTTTTGCCCGGGCAATCATCCCCTACTCTGATAGAGATGCGGCATCCGCTCTAGGCTTTTAGGGCTTAGGGGTAGCGGGTGCAGGGCTCAGAAGTTTAAGGGGGCTTGGGGTTTAGGATTCGGTTTAGCTTTAGGGGTTTAGGGGCTTGTGGTTCAAGGATAAAGCTTCGATCGTAGCTGCAACAAGCATAGTCTTCCTGTCGGGGTTAAGCTGTATACAGCTTTACTGACTGTCTGACTACATGTACTCATGGGTATATGTCTACGTCCGCAAAGTTTTACGGCTTCGCCCCCTAAAACCTAAACCCTAAACCCTAAACTCAACCCCTCAGCCTGAGCCTGAAGAATGCGGCGGTCCTTATCCAGCTTCAAGAAGAGGTTGCGGAGCTTCTCTGTTTGGATCTGGCAGGATACAACGGGTTCTTGGGAGTGGGTTCGCCGCACAAGTCCAATGGAGGGCAGCTTTCCCGAACCTAGCCGACAAGTCGCTGCTAGTACGCTTTAGGGTTTAGGGGTACGCACTAAGCCTCAGTCAGTCCCTCAACACTTCAACACAGCGCAATGGCGGCTAGGCCTCCCGTGACTTCTGGCGCACGAACCTGGATCATTGATGCACGGAACCCGTTTAGGTTTTGAGGCCTGGGGCATTGGAGGTATTGGAGGTCTTGGAGTGCTAGGCTTGTACACTACGATCCGTGCGCATGTATATGTATATATATATATATACGTACATGTATATATATATATATATATGTGTGTGTGTGTGTGTGTGTGTTTGTTTATGTATATGTGTGTATAACCATTTTACATATGTATGTATATTTATATATACATACACATATGTACATATATATATATATATATGTGTGTGTGTGTGTGTCTGTGTGCGCGGTGGTGTTTCTTCGAATTCGTTGGAGCTTGATTGGTTGAGATTTGGTGACAGGAGGCTCGTTGAGCTGTATCAGGCTTTATACAACATGGCACAAACGATCAACTGTCTGAGAGACATTGGTACAGAAGTGGCTTCAAAGGTAGGCAAACCCTACAGCATGTGACCGAAAAGTGCCAAAACCT